CAGCCCCAGGCAGAGGGAGAAGCTGACTGGGATCACCAGGAGCCTGGAGCTGGGCGAGACTGGGACTCTCCCATCAAGCAGGGCTGGACCCCGCTCAGGCTGCCCCAGGCCAGGCTGCCGCCTTCCACTGCGGGTGGGACAATAGGAGGGGCAGGGGCAGGGCAGGGGGCATCCCACTCATACCAAGCCTTCAAAATGAGTTTGAAGTGTGCCGAGCTGCAAGGCTTCCCAGAAGTAGGTAAAAGGGAGTGTCTGCAGGAGCCTCCTGCGCTGCCGCAGCCAACTTGCCCAAACGTAGCCACTTAAACAACACCATGTCATCCTGCTCCTCTGGAGGTCAGAAATCTGAAAGGGTTCCCTGGGGCTAAAACCAAGGTCTGGGCAAAGCTGTGATCCTTCAGGTGGCTTGCAGGGGCCACCTGCATGTCATGGGTCACAGCTTTCACACATCGACGGAGTGTGTCCCTCCCACCTCTGGGCCCTGACCCTCCTGCATCCCTCTCATGAGGACCCTGGCTGACACTAGGTCACCTCCCGCCCACAGGTCCTTTACCTCATCACACCTGCAAGTCCAAAGATGGGGACGTGTCCGCAGGTGTCCAAAGGGGACACCTTTGGCACCAATTTTCTGCCTACTGCCCTGTTCTTCAAGAATCTCTCCCGTTGAGCGAAACAGGACCGGTGCGGGCGTGGTGGGGTGGAGTCAGCGAGCCCACGAGGAGAGGCCTAGGAGCTTCCAGGGGGGTCGCCCTGCCGTCCGAGGCCTGAGAGGCTCCGGGAGCAGAGGGCACCCTGGACCAGGGCACCCTGGCGTCCTGCGTCAGGACACCCCGGAGGACCTACTCTCATCTCTTGACAGGTCCCAGGCATGGGTCCACAGTTCTAATTGACTGAATGGTGCAAGATAAACGATGAGCTGTGCTTCACAGTCGGAATTTTCATTTACAAGACGAACCCACCTAGCCTCCCTGGCCCACGCTGCTTACCTTTGATGCCTCCCCTGCATCCTCCACAGCCGGGCTCTCCAGCAGACGCTCCACGAGGCGCAGGACACAGAGGCGTGGCCATCTGCGTGGCCAGGCGGTCCATGAGCCCTCACAGAGGCGAGGCACTGGCTCAGCTGCCCATCAAGCAGGATGGTGACAAGAGCACAGAGGCCCAAACTGCCCAGAAGGTTCTTGAAGGCTCTGGAAGGACTTCCAAAGGTGTGCCACTGTGTTGGGGGAGGCAGGGAGAGAGAAGGAAGGAAAGTGGACTGGGGCTCACACTGGAAGGGCAAGACCCCTGGACCGTCCCCAGAGGCCCTGCCTGTGATGTTGACAGCAGACACATAGTGGCTGCCACAGCTGCCTGAGTAAGGACAGAGAGCCCAGGGTCAGGGAAGAGTGGCAGCTAGGAGCCCAGCCCAGGCTGCGGAGCGTGAGCTTGGGTGCTTCTTCAGCTGTGTGACCTTGGGCGAGTGACTTCACGCCTCTGTGCTTGTTTCCTAGTCAATAGGGACAACACAACTGTGTGTCCCCAAAGCTCACGTGTGACACAATGCAAGAAAACTCAGAGGTGAAATGCTTGGGTTATGAGAGCCTTAACCCAGTCGGTGCGATGATGGGTGCGGTGACTTAATGGGGAGTGCGGGAGCACGGTAGGAGGTAGGTCCCGGGGACCTGCCTCTGCTGTTGACATTTTGTACCTGGTGAGCACAGCTCACTCTGTTGCCATGTCCTGAGCTGCCTTCCTCCGCCACACCCTCTGCCAGCCTGGACGGACACCTCAGCTCTGGGAGCCGAAGTACACTCCTCCGCTACATACTTCTCCTGGGACCTTTTGGTCATCGCGGCACAAAAGCGGCCTAAACCACACCTGAGGACGGGGACAGTGGGTCTCATTGCCCCTGAGTCCAGGGGACGCACTTAGACATGGAAGGGTCTCTCTCTTCTTCCGACCCCAGGGTCCCTTGGCACCACGGTCCTGTCCCTGGACGCCGATCGCGTTGGAGCAGCCCTCCTCTCCGCGATCCCCGTTTCTCTTCCTGCCTTTCCTTCCTGCCTTGATGGGAGACTGGACCTTCAGTAAGCTGCATTTTGAGTGTGTGAAGTGACAAAACACTGACATGAGTGATGGCCTCGGCCTGTTGTCACAGGAAGTTAGATGGCATCAGGTCATGCCTTCCCAGAGCCTCTTCCTGTTCACAAGCCCTTCCTGCTCCCCCAGCCACACCCCACGGCCGCGGCCTTCTCCTTCCCTACAGGATTTCTAGAGTGTGGGTAAACGGAGGGCTGTGGGTAGAGCCTTTCCCTGCCAGCAGCGCCTGAGAGTGTCACCTCTGTCCTGGGACCCCGCTCTTGGCGTGGCCTGTCTTTTCACTCTTGGCCACTCCAGTGGGTCTCCTTATAGATTTGACTCTCCAGTGATTGATGCGGACATTTTTCATGTGAACTTTTGCCATGGGCATAGCTTTGATGGAGGGACCATTCAGATCTTTTACTCATGTAGAAAATTAGTCTGAATTTCAGTGACTCAGGAGGTTGAGGCAGGAGGATCACAGGCTTGAGGCCAGCCTCCACAACTTACTGAGGCCATAAGCAACATAGCAAGAACTTGTCTCAAAATAAAAACTTTTAAAAAGGGCTGGGGAGGTAGCTCAGTGACAAAGCACTCCGGGTTCAAGCCCCAGTAGCCAACCCCCTCACCGTTAGTTGTTTGCCATTTTCATTAATGAGATGTGAGTTGTAAGAATATTTATATATTCAATTTCTTTTTTGGAATTGTTTCACACACACACACACACACACATACACACACACACTCCACAAAACCTTTGTCCAATTTATGCATCTTCATTTGTGAAGTGTCTGTTGAAAAGCAAAAATTTATATGTATATTAGTTGTCAATGGACCTTTATTTTATTTATTTATATGTGGTGCTGAGATTCGAACCCAGTGCCTCACATGTGCTAGGCAAGCACTCTGCCACTGAACCACAACCCCAGCCCAAAAAGCAAAGTTTTTAATGTCAAAGAAATATGTTTTGTTTTTCTTTTTTCTTTTGAGAGAGAGAGAGAGAGAGAGAGAGAGAGAGAGAGAGAATTTTACTATTTATTTTTTAGTTTTCGGC